GGAGAGAGCACTCTGTTTCCTGGGGCACCACTATCTCCTGCTCTCTGTGATAATCCTGTCTTTATGCCCGAGGACCTTGATGGCCACCATGATGCTTCTGCCCATGTTCCTCGTTGCCACTCTCAAATTACGACCCAGTCTTTGTGCTGCACGCATTTTTAGCTGCTGTCAGGCCTAGCACACGTGCTCTTTTTTTTCTCCTTTTTCTTTCACAAGCTATTTTATACGCCATATGTCCACTTTGGCTGTGATGCTAAATATTGCCTGGAGAGTTAGAAGCAGAAGAAAAAAGAGGAGGCTATTGTGGGGAAAAAAAATGGATAAAAGAGGCTATTTTTTCTTTGTATAGACTCTCGGTTTCACAAGCAAAACCCGAGCAAATGTTAATGCTTGAGCTGCCAGTGAAACAGACATTTTGATGAATCCTACATCTGAAATAAATGGTCCTGTTCTTGGGCTGCGTGTGTTTCAGTGTGACTGTTTCCTACATATTACATAACAGAGAATTGGAACGGAGGTAATTTCTCAGCAAAACAACCAGCAGTGCAGTGGAAAACAGCGAGGTCAGTTTGCCCCGAGGCAGGACCGGAGCAGCAGTTATTAATAACAGAAGTACAGGAAAAGAGAGCGTTGCACTCACCCTGGTGTCTACTGGGAGCTGGATATAGTAAACTAGCTCCTATACAGCTGGAGAGCATGCCACACCAGCACTATTTGTGTGTGTGTGTGTGTGTGTGTGTGTGTGTGTGTGTGTGTGTGTGTGCATTTGCTAAGAAAGCGAAAAGCTAGATGGACGTAGAGAATTATGGCCTCTGAGTGATGCCAGTGACTGCCTATCATGATCTCAATATTAATAGGTATTGACATGTTCTTATCACCACATTGTCAATATATAAAAGAGCTAAAGATTTTTTTGGGCATAGCAAGTAAGTGCTGCACATTATGAGCCCTAGAAAGTAGAAATATAATTTTTTAACCACTTTTCTTCCACTATGAAGCTTTTATTTATCCTGCAAAATAAGTTATAGTAATCAAGCCAATTGGACAAAGAAGCCAAAGTGCCAAATTTCCCCAGGGCCCGAGACCTTCAAAGTCCTTCCTCCACTGTAAAAGTTTGTGAATATGAATCACTAAAGCACAATATCAAATGAAATAATCGGGGCATTCTTCTCAGACGTGCATCATTACCTGTCTTGTCTACCTCTGTTGACATTTAGATGATGCATTTTACTAAATGCAAATGACCACTTAGGCAGTCAATAAGGGCCCCAAGCTTTAATAATAATAATAATAATAATAATACACTCGGAGACGAGCTGATATATGAAAATAACCCAGATTGAGATAAAATTGACCTTTCCTAAGTTCCGCCCTGTGCCCCAATAACAGTTGAGCAAGCCTTGGTCAACTTTCTTCTTTTCTATACTTCAATATGTTAAGTGCTAGGTACTAGTTACATCTGAAAGCTAGCTCATTTAAATCAACTCTTATTAACTAGATAGATAACGTTTTGCTTACATTAGTTAATTTAAGATTAGAAGACTATATGTCGCTATGGCCTGTTAGTTAGCCATAGTAACAGATAGTAACAAAGCCATAGTAGGCTACTGTTGCTATGGTTACTTTAATGTAACTTTACCACTAATTAAGGGGCGGGTCCAACTCTTGACGGGTGTCTTCTTATACAATTTTGACAGAAACCTATATATAAATGTAAATATCAGAAAAATCATTTTTTACTGACATTTTTCACAGCAGACATTTTGATTTATCACAGCTGAAAAAGCACCAGTGTAACCAGTAAAACTAATCATTGCTCCTCATTGTCAATAACCAGGTGATTATTATTATTATTATTATTATTGTTAATAATCACAGTTGTGCTTTTTCTGCTATGATATGTCAAAATGTCTGCCGTTAAAAGGGCTTAATATAGATCAGTAGTGAGCTTGCAGTGCTTCCTGCCATCTCTTGTTTAATTACACAAAACTTGGACTCTTTCTTCCCGACAGTGATAAAGCAACACTGACAACACCCTCTGCCGCTTTTTGTTTTGTGTGTTGTTTCGCTAAGTGTCTGCGAGAAGCTGGTCTGACTGAAGCGTTACTATGGAAACCACACTTTGTGTTCTCAAAACTGAGATGGGACAAGGTGTTTACATGCCTCGGTGTCCCAGCTAACATCAGCACATTCCCTTAGTGCATTATGTGAACTGATCCAGTGTCAGTTACTGTGAGCGGTGCTGACGTTTGTGCTGCCAGTACGCTTCTCTTTCAGTTATAGTGGCTATTATATGATATTGCTAACTACCCAGTTGTGTTGCTGCTTTGTATTGTGATTTAAATGCATTACGTACTGTGAGCCTGTCTTGGAGACACATTATATATAGACAACGCTTCATCTTATGGGTCCATAGTTTCCTAATCAATACCTAGGGAATTTTCCTATGTAATTTGTTTCAAATTTTGGGGAAAATGGAGACAAAGCTGTGAGCTGTGAGTTGATTTTATATGGAGTTAATCATATATAGCCTCAAAAACAGACCATGAACACAACAACAGATCATGATAACTTTTTTAATTCTCCTGTTCTGATCTTGTTTGTATTTTGAGTCATGTTTGATCTGAAGCAGCAACAGTCGAGTTCATTATTACTGTGCAAGTGATTAAATTGAAAACCAAAGGATCGTGTCACGCATAGTGCAATTATTTAGTGACATTTGTATTTGTTTGTAAAAACTGCAAAGAAGAGTAGAGTAAGGCGTGAAGAGGGTTGTCCATTTAAGAACGTGACAAATCAGGTAATAATGTGCTCCATTAATATCTTCCTGAGACGACTAAGGGCTCTTTAACAAAGCAGCACTGGGGGGAAAAATCCATTAATAACAGAAATTATAGCATTCTAATTAAAGCCTTATTAACCAGTGATCGTATAAACTTACACACTTACTCTAAAAGAGAAGTCAACCCTATAACAGATTTCTAGCCTGTACAAAAGATAAATAAGTCCCTTCCAATGCTTATGAAACACATATCCTTCAAACTGAAAGGCCAAAATGAGTAGTGACTTTACCCTATCTGTTAATCCTAAAAGAAAATAAAACCCATGTGAATGTTGATGCTCAAACAAGCATCACAGCAGTTAAAGGTTATTACAAAGTCAGTCACTGATTTATTGTCAGTGAAGCAGCTCCAGGTTTTGTCTGATTAAACAGATTACGGCACTGATTCAGCTGCTGCCCTTTGTCTGTCTAAGGTTATACTTCCTGTTAAAAGCTATACAAGAACATCCACTTTTCTTTTGTATCAGTTGTTCTGTATGCAAATGTATGTGAGGGTGTACCGTATGGAGAAACTTGTGCATGCCGAAAGCTGGATCAGACAAATGCCTTTTTTCATTGGTGCACAATATCTCTTGTGTCATGACTCTTACAAGCAATAACTCTTGAGCAAGTCTTTCACAAAGTTTAAAGTCGGTATAGATTTCCTAACAACATTAGCCTCGGGCTGCGCTCCATTTTTATGTATGCCAGAAGGGGAAACTTGTATGTGGGCTGAGGTCGCCAACAGACAGTTCAGGGGTTCTTGCTGAAATGCACATGTCTAAAATGTATTGTCTTGTATTTAACAAACTGAATAAAACATTAGATATATACAGTATGATTGCTTCTTTTTCTTACTCGGCTATTGGTTTGTCCGGTATGCCGCAGCTGTTAGGTAGAAAAGACATATGCCACACCAGTGTCAGAATCAGAGAGAGACTGACCTTCAGAATCAGAGACGCTGACCTTCTCTTCATAGAGCTTTAGGCAGCTAAGTAAGTGTAAATCCTCAGCAGCCCAGTTAGACGTTCCTGCCTGGCTCAGCTGGCCGAAATGGAGCGAAGACTCCAGCCTTTCCAAGCTGCCGTCGCTGAGTGTTTTGTTGTGTTAAGTGATCTATCTGCAGTTTATCGTCTCTCTGTCAGGTTGAGTTTCAGCTGAGCAGGAACAGAGGAGATTAAGATGTGGACCAATTTCTTTCTGTTTCCCAAAAAGGACATGTGTTTTACAGTTTTTACAGAAACTCAGCAATCCATATTGTTTTCTGATTTTCCATTATAGCCTGTTACGCATGTGGTTTGAAAAATTAAATCAATCATTTGCTGTAAATTTGGGGGGTGTAAACAAGAAGTGTAATGTTGCCATTGAGTCAGTTTGACAAATTGGCAGCATTAAGAATATGCAGAATTAGCTGTTTGCAGTGCACGCATTAATGTACAGACAACTATCACTGGATCACGTTGATGCTTAAGAAAACTTGAGGATTCTCAGGCAAGGCACTTTTGGAATCTGGACTCTTTTTTTCCTATGATTTATAAGCAGATTTATAGATGTTCATTGGCTATGTGTTCACATTTGACTGAGTTATGACACTGTGAAGGAGACACAGTTTTAAAGTACCTTAACTGACTGCATGAGCTGTGTGTCACTGCTGCTGTTGATAAGAGGGCAAAATTAAACTACTTCTACTAAACTAACTTCATATTGTATTCACCCGTCATGCACTTGACTTGTCCCTTTGCCTCACATCTCTGGTGGTTTAGAAGATATACCTCTGTGTACCTTACATGCAAAAAAATGGCTAAGAAAATAATCATTCCTACCCTTTTTAACCACACAAATACCACACGAAACATTGGATTTCTGTTTTTCTCAGTATGATCCTTGATATTGTGCTGTACATGGATGGACTTTCCCCCACTGCATCTGGCCTCATTTCTGTGTTTCAATGCCCCTTCTAGTTTAGTTAAGAGTTATTGTCCATCACAATACTCACATCCAATCATGCATTTATCAGATTTAATCTAGTAGTTATTTCCCTGAATTCTATCTTTGAGAAAATGTGTCATTTTTCAAAACTTGTAGGGGATACAACCTGTAAAAAAGCAGCATCCCTCAGTTTGCACTGACAGTCTTAATTCGTCAACAGCCGGGTTAATGGTGTCCTCCTGTCTTGCAGGGGCGTGGTGCGCGTTGACATTAATCTACAGGATGTTGATATCGACCAGTGCTCCGCTGATGGCTGGTTTGCTGGAACCCATCGATGCAATACGACCACTATGGAGGTGAGTGTGCCAAACATGCGGATTAGACAGAAGATTGATTCTCTCTTGAAAACTGAACTGTAACGTACACACATTCAGTCACATCTCCACGAACCACTAAATGGAAAAGCACTAAATCTGTACATCTGGTGATGGATGGCTGATTCTTCATTAATGATACTGTTACAACCCACTACCACTTAAATAGACACTATAGGCAATCATTTAAAATTATGCACATGAAAATGTCTTTTTTAACATCTATTTTGAGATAAGAAATATTTATTTGAGGAATCAGTTGGACTTATTTCCAAAGCAGATCACAGTTACAGTGAGTACTTTTCTTGCTTTACACCAATAGTAACAACTGTTACTGTGCAAATAATCACTTGATACTCATCCATATAAATGTATCCTTTGTGTCAAGTTTGCTGTGAAAAAATATTGTTTTTGTCACACCTAAATCCTTTGTTAAACACACCTGCACCACCTCCACCCACTTTATTATCTCTATCAAGGTTATTGTTATGAAGTATGATGTGTTCAGTTTTGTGTAAACCTAGGTGGCCAGATGGGCCCAAATGGACCAAGGTTCACTTAATTGACAGTTTTAAGTCATTTTTTAGACATTAGACAACTAACAGAGATACAGTACGCACTATACTTGGTTCCAAATCTTAAGGGTCTTTTTTCACAGGGTCAAGAGATATGTTTAACTTTAAATTAAAGTGATGTGAATGGAGGTGGAGAATTGGAAACGTGTTCATCATTGGCAGAGAAGAAAATAGCCCTGGCCATTTTCATGCTTATGAAAAATAGGCTGTCTCAAGGCCTTGGAACATGTGGGCAGAGCTCTTGGACAGGATGATAAAACTCTCAGCACTCTGCTATTTTTAAAAGGATGTAAAATAATCATATCCTCCATTTTGAGTGAGGGAACTGTCATTCATTTCTATTTTCAATAATGCTATTTAGAATAGAACTAATAGCAACTAATACAACTTGCAAGAAAAAATAGTTTTGTTTTTACATGGCTGTATGGCTCAAATTTTCCCAATTACTATCTTTTCGGTCACCTGTGAGCAGATGAAACAAGTTGTAAACACTTGCACTAATCACCTTGAAGGTTTAAATGTTGGAATATTTGGCAACAGTTGCCTATTCACATATTATTAAAGGTCCAGTGTGTAACAATAAGAATGGTCTATTGAAAGAAATGGAATATGATATTCATAGGTCTGTTTTCATTAGCATATAATCACCTCAAAATAAGAATCGTTCAGATTTCGTTGCCTTAGACTGAGCCTTTTTTTATCCACGGAGGCCGCCATGCATTTGCGTTTTTTATGTGTTTTATGGCCACCCTAGTTTCTCCCTCACGCTTGGAAAGGGAGGGTGAAGCGAGTGAGTTGGAATCTGCAAATACACTATCAGATTAACAAATCCTACACACTGGTCTCATTAATATAAAAATATTGATTGTGGCCACTTTTAGAGATGTGTAGTCACTGAATATATATATTGGAAATAAATCCAACTTAGGCCAATAATGCCGTATTATATTCCAACTGACAACTTTACTAAAACTTTTTTTTTAATCACGTCATTAATACTTTCTGCCTGCTTTGATGGTAATCTTTAATTTCAGCACAGAGCGCTGCTGTCTGGCTAGCAGCTAGCCTTCTGGTCAAAGCGCCTCGATGCTTCTTACCTGCCGGTGCAGTCTCTTCGTTAAGAGCGATAGATTTTGAAGAGGTGCTGTAGATCAGACTGCTTCATAATGCATGTGATGTAATGGATTGCAGTGAGCCTCTTTGAATAATTAATCACTCTCTTTGTCTGAGTACTTCCACCTCTCAGTGGACAGTCAATGCCAGAGATATTTGACATAGTGGGTGTGTGTGTGTGTGTGTGTGTGTGTGTGTGTGTGTGTGTGTGTGTGTGTGTGTGTGTGTAAGGTGGCTACAAGGAGAGAAATACATTGTTGCTGGTATAGATTTAAGCTGGGTTTGCAAAAGAATGATCTCTGCGTGCTTACAGTGCAGGAGTGTGTTAGTGTGAGTATGCTTGCTTACAGCTGAATGATGAAAGCTGTTGTGGCCAGGAATTGTCTTGTCTTGCATCACAGGTTTATCATACAGGAGCTCATTATCTGCTAGATAAACAACATAGATCAGAAGAGCAGCAGTGATTTTAACCACCTCGTTATCTCTTGTGAATGTGTAAGGCAGAGTTTATATTGTAATTCATAAATCGCGCAACATCCCCTCACATGATAGTAGCCTTCTGCAAATAAGAAGTGCAGAACACCATCTTCGTGTCTTCCCGTCAACTAACAACCTACCTTCCCGGCCAGCAGTACAGCTGCTCAAGTTGTGGAGGGCCACGTGGTGGCCTTGGTGGCAATCAACCCGATAGAGGAGTGGCTCGCAACAGATACTGAACTGGACTTGGAAATCACATTAAAGCAAACGTTGGTCTCCGTTCACAGTTAACAAGTTTTGGAAAGAAAGCTGACAAGAAAGACTAGCCATGTCTAAATCTGTGGAATATAAACCTTAGTGTTCAACTGTATCTTGACTTTCCCAGTTTTTTATGTGTAAGAGTGCACGACCAGGTAAATCAGAGGTGACGTGGGAGGCTGATATTTCTCCAGCTATGAATAGAAAGCACGACTGCAGTGTAATCAAGTCTTGCAGGGCCGTGTGTGCGTGGTAATGTGATAAAACAGCAATGGAAGGGATGCCCTGTATTTGCAAACTGGGATTCATTTTATTATTGCTGTATTTTTTTTCTCATGCAGGTATTCCCTCCACATGCAGCAATTTGTTGTTTAATAGGTTTCTTTGGGGCCATTTAAATAAAAGAGACAATGATTTCAGGCTGCTATAGATCCTAGGTAGGAGTATTTTCTTTGTTTTATTGGAAACAAAGCAGTTAGTTTAGTTGGAGCTGGAGCAGTTTATTTCCTTAAGTGATTCATTGACGTAGTCACATTTTCATTCCACCCTCAGATGCTCTTTATATCAGCATTTGCAGCATTTCCACTTACATGTAGACACCACATTTTATTTTGCATGCACAACTCTGACAGGATTTATCCAGCATCAGTGAATTCCTTTCATCACACATCCACTGTTGTTCTTCTGCTCCTTAGCAGCGTTTTAAGTGCCACCATTCCAGCAATTGAATTTGACAAAATGCAGCCGTTCCAGCCAGCCAGCCAGCCAGCCGGCTCCCTGGCCTCCCCTCACATCCTCCCTCTCAAGCTGCTGTTTGCCCAGCCAAGCATGCAGGCAGCCCAAACTCAGATGGAGGCAGATGCTATGGATGACTGATTCACCAGGCAAGCAAAGGAAGGCAAAACAAAATGAGGCTCGGACTGTTGACAGGAAAAATACAATATCCCAACAGTGTCAGAAACCTATGGTTGTTTGAGGGCAATGCTATTTAAAAACCAACAATTGTTAACAGATTCCATTGATTCTTTCTATATGATCATATTCACAAAACCCTACTTAGTTTTTTCTACCAGTGCTGCCATAGTTGACCCTAGCTATATAAAATCACAAACTGATGAGATCAGGTTGTGGGTTGCCAGGTTGTGGTGACAGATGGGTTATTGCGTAGATTGCGTTTCATAGCTCATCTGACAACTTGCTTGACAAACTCTATGTACGATGATTGTTCATAAAAAAGTTTGAGGGGCGGGAGATGCCCTAAATATGTCTTAAGTTTATGTTTAGTTAGGTAATTGGTGCACTCTCTTAGTTCAGTAGGTAGACTACCCACTACTGGAACAGACATGGCTTGGAAAGCCAAACTTTCAGCCATTATTAATCTTATTACCTCATCTCTGGCACTTCCTTTACATAATCTCACTGTTTTTATATATCTCTGTCACTCTTGTAATGTGTTTATGTATTATATTGTATTGTTGAAGCACTGTACTGATGACATTAGGCACTAGCTTGTTATAACCTGCCTAGGGACTACAGATGAAAATCATCTTATTAGCTTAATCTGGCACATTTACATTGACGTGTAAACTGCAATGTTGATTAATGTGCATTGTCCCTGGTAAAGAAATAAAAAAATAAAGTAATAAAACCCAGGAAAATTGTAGTGTTGGCAGTGGACCGTGAGGAGATATTTGATGAATTTTAAAAAAATAGTGTATATATAGAATTGCATTAGTTAGAATCACTTACCCCACCTTTAACCGTCGACAAAAAGGACTTCATGAAATGCTGCAGCGTCTTAATACATTTAAGAGAAGGAAAGAAACAATATATCATTTCATTGTTGTTAATCAGTTGTTTCTGCAAATAGGCACTGCATACATCACCATTGAATTATAGAAAATCAACCAGAGTATGCCAACGCTGCTGTCAAGTAGAATATATAGCAATCAATTTCATGATAAACTCTGACTGCAGACCAGTCGCTGAATTTATTAGGCCGAGAGCAAACATTGTATTTTCTTTGATTATGACTTGTGCCAATCATGGTGAAGCTAGATGAGTCATTACATAGCCAAGCATGGAGCCCAAAGATTATCAACTACAATCTGGACTTAATTTCCTGTTGAAAAGGTGTATACATGCTGTTTGAGGCCGACGTTTTCCTGTCTTTTTTTTTTTTTCCACCTCTCATCTCTTACTAATGGCACTTCCAAAGTCTAGGACTTTGCCGCCCTGGGGGCACCTTTCATATGAGAACGCGGCTGTGGATGATGATGAATGTTTCAATCAATTAGCTTATTGCTCAGAACAAGTGGTGGAGCCCTGGGGGACTGAAGCCTGTGAAAGGCAGTGACACATAACCTGAATGATTACTCCAGCCGGCACGACAAGGACTCCTGAATCTCCGCCGTTTCTTGTTGAGGGCTGTTGAGTGAGAAGAGTGGGAGGACTACTGCTCAGAAATGAACATTTAAAGCTAAGAATGATATGGAAACAGCAGATTTTGTGTCATAATACATGGATTTTGAGCTTTAAATCTGAAAATGTAATACTCAC